GTCCTTACCTGCAGCAGCAGTTTGACCCTCTCGATTGGGGCGACCGCGGTCTTGGACACGGCAGCGGCGACGCCGCCGGCCAGGAAATCCTTCAGGAAGCTCAAGGCGTGATCAGTCATGGTGACAGCCGGGCGCACACAGCCTCCGGGAGCCGCGCTCGCGCTCGCGCTCTCGCTCTCGCCTCCGCCCGGCCAGGCACGGCCGGCCGCTCTCCGTCCCTGCGCGACGCGAAGGGGCCGCTCGCGTCGCCCCGCAGCCCTCCTTATATCCCCCGCCCAGTCTCTCGCGAGAGGAGGAGGGACCCCGGGGCCGTGCGCGCCGTGCGCATTGGCTGGGCAGGTGCCTGGACACCCCCTCGCCGTCCCCCTCCTCGGCAGAGGGCAACCGGGGCGAAGGCGCTTCCGGGAGGCAGGGGTGGGCCGGGGGCTGTGCCTTCGGCTTGGGACGTTTAAAGGGCAAATTCATGTTATCTGTCCCGGCGAGCGGAGGGAACACCATGTCTCCGCAGCATGTGGGCCGCTGTATTTATAGCACAAGGAGGCTTAGGCTGGGGCCGACCTGGGGACCGACGCCTCAAGCAGGGCTTGCTTTAACCTCGGGCCTGCACGGGACCCGCTCCTAGCCAAGGGATTTCAGGCTGGGGGTTTTTTCCCCCCCTTCCTCCTAACGGTTTCCCTCACCAGGCTCACTGCTTGGATTTGGGCCCCTTCGGAGTTGCGTGCTCTCGAAAATAAATCAAGATCCTCCAAAATAAATGCTAACGTCGCTTGATGCTGTGATTACCTCATAATCTGGCAACCTGCCGAATCCCCTCTTCCCTCCATTCAGTCATTCAATCATTGATCCTACCATGAAATACTTACGTCCTGGCATTCAGTGCCACCAGGAAAGGTCGAATGCAGGGGGGACTCCAAGAACGGGGGCCTTACAGGACACTTCTTTTGAAAATCCCTTAAGGGCTTAATGTGCTGTTTTGCTGTCAACGGAATCTCAGGACATTTTCTGGGCAGAATGTTCTCAGGCAGCTGTCGGCTTCTTGAGGGTCACCGCTGTTAGCCTTTCCATTGGAGTTGCTGGGTGAGTGTGGTATGGAGTAAGAGAAGGTCGAATCCTTGACTGTATTTGCCCCTTTTTAATAGGCACCTGGGACATATGCTCTCTAGTCTTAGGAAACTGATTGCAACTTCGTGTCGGGTTGTTGGGTTTTTTTTTAATGTATTACTATGAACTTTGATTTTCCTTTTTTTTTGTAAGCTGTTCATATAATCATGCAGGTTTTCAAATACAGCTGTTCCTTCCCCTAGAATGATTGCAATTGGCTTTTAACTGTAAACGCTTCACTCAAGTTTCTTCCCATGTTTGTACATTTGACAAAGTTTATGCATTTTTTCACAAGCTTGCTGATGAATGCAGACCTCATGTTAGGTAATTGAACTCAGCTGTGTGACGCCCTCGGTATGGAAACTTCAGTAGAGAGAGGTCACTGGTTGGGTGCTGGGACCACAAAGGGTATGCATTTATCTGAGGTCGGGCAGGCTAGAGTCCAGAAATCTAGGTGAGCAGTATGAAGGCAAGCAAATGCACGTTTACCAAGGTCAGAGCAGGCAGAAGGTTAAGAATTCAGCATAAACGGAAAAGCCATTTATGCATTCATTCAACAGTCACGCGCATTTATCATGTACCAGGAACAAAGTTTGGCCCTGTGCATTCACTATGAGATGGTTCAGTCTCCCAAGAAACTAACAGTTTAGCAGTGGACATATTTATCCCTTGTTGAGCTTTATTTGTTACAGCTTCACATACAGATTTTCATGGATCAACAAAATGCACATAATAGTGTACTGCGTTCCATTCTGCTAACATTGAGCAGTTGCCTAAACCATTTTCCTTATGCGTTAGAGATGTTTCTTATTTTTACTATGAAAAATAATGCTGTTACATACTTGCACAAAGTTCATTTTCCCCTTTGTGATCTTTCCTTCTCTTTTCTCCTTCCTAAAGTGGAACAGATTAAATGCCTTAAAAGATTTTTAGCTCTTGCTACATATTGAGAAGTTGCTCTTCAGAAATAATGCAGCCCGCCAGCAGGGTCAGTGGGTTATGGATCCTCCTCCAACACTGCCTTAAAAAAAGCATCTTTTAGTTATGTGTGCCATTTAATTAGTTCTAATTTGCACATCTTTGCTATGGAACTGCACATACTCCATGTGATTCCATTTAGTTTGTCAGGGTTTTCCTTTTGTATAAATTTGTTTAATTAAAAAATTTTTAACCTTTTTTTTACTTTATTTATTTATTTATTTATTTTATTATTTTTTTAAATTTACATCCAAGTTAGTTAACATACAGTGCAATAATGATTTCAGGAGTAGATTCCATAAGGCTCCTTACCCATTTAGCCCATGCCCCCTCCCACACCTCCTCCAGGAACCCTCTGTTTGTTCTCCATATTTATGAGTCTCTTATGCTTTGGTCCCCCTCCCTGTTTTTATATTATTTTTGCTTCCCTTCTGTGTAAGTTTTTAATCTTCGGTGACTGCCTGTGGCGTGAAAGCAGAGTATGTATCTGTATTTATAATTCTTTATATATTTGGAGCAATAAATATGTGTTGCTCCAAATAATTGAATCTTTTGTTTTCTTTTGATACTTAAAAAAATTTTGTTTTAATGTTTATTTTTGAGAGAGAGAAACGGAGAGTGAGCAGGAGAGGGGCTGAGAGAGAGGGAGACACAGAATCCCAAGCAGGCTGCGGGCTCTGAGCTGTCAGCACAGAGCCCTACATGGAGCTTGAACCCATGAACTGTGAGATCATGACATCCAACGTCGGATGCTTAGCCGACAGAGCCACCCAGGCGCTTTGATTTACTTTTTTTTTCTTTTGATACTTTTTATTACATTGATCTAACAGTGCTATATATTTAAATACAAACAGATCCCTGTTACAATGATATACTTCATGTTCTGATATAAATGTATCTCTTTTGCAGATTAGGCTATCTGTCCTACTAGCCTATTTCCTTCTACTTCTTTTGATCTCATCTCATACTATACCATTCTCAGGTATCCCAACACTAAATCTTAAGGAGATATCTCCTTTTCTCCATTATTTGTCTTAGATTACTAATGCTAGTTTGTGATATGTGAAGTTCTTAAGTAGTTTTAATGAATGAAATCACCACATCATGACTTATTTATTTGATCACTGATCTCTAAAAAAATAAGACAACTTATATGTGATTCTACAACCACTTAAAAAACAGAAAGTTTTGTCTGCCTATATGTCTGGATTTGTCTTTCCTATCAAGGTATTCAATTATGTAAATATCACTAGACAATTTTTAATAGATATTAAAATGAAATATTAACATATTCACTCAGGAAGTATTATCATCTTTTTACACTTGATTGTACTAGTCACAGTTTTTTATGTTTTCTAAATGGAAGGTATCGCATTTCTCCTTGGCTTCTGTCCAACTATCCTGTCGTGTCAGGTGACCTACAGCTGGAATCCTTGGCAAGAGGTTTTCCACGGAAATTCATACACTGTCCTCTCCCTCCACGGGCTTTCTCAGAAAAGAGAGGCCTCAGATGTCCTCAGGAGCATGAGCTGCCCGCGATCACAAGATCCATGTATCACTTACACAGGCAGGGCAGAGAATGGCACCCAGCAGAACATGTGTCCACCTGCCAGTCCCAGCACTCTGTGGCTTTCTGCCAGCACGAGAATGGACAAGGTATCTAGGAGATAAGAGAGACAACTCTGCCTTCAAATGTGGCATAGAGGCCTGGAGGCTGGCGGGTGGGGGGACAGGGCTATATAGAAATGAGAGCAAGGTATTGAGCTAGTCTCTTTTGAATTTGAATTTGAATTTTTAAATTCATGTTTATTTATTTTATTTTGAGAGAGAGAGAGAGAGAGTGAGCATGAGCAAGGGAGGGGCAGAGAGAGACAGAGAGGGATAGAGAGAATCCCAAGCAGGCTCTGCCCCATAAGCACAGAGCCCCCCGTGGAGCCTGATCTCACGAACTGTGAGATCACAACCTGTGCCAAAATCAGGAGTTGGAAGCTTAACCAACTGAGCCACCCAGGCGCCCCGTCTTTTTGGCTTTTTTCTTTAGTGGAAACTTTAAAGAATCTTTGATATTTTACCAGACTTGGAATGGACAGCGGGAGCTGCTCAAGAGGAGAAGGTACAGGAAATAAAGAAAAACACTTAAGGGTTTGCTGATCGTGATGATAATGCAGTGCCCGTGTGTCGGTATATATCTAAAACTGTTAATAATTAGTACATACTATTACTATTTGTTAATGGTAAATTTCCCCATTAAGCAAAGAGGAATTAATTCTGAGAACCTATTGTTTCGATAGCGTAAGACCACATATAAATTTCTGAATTTCACTCAAAAGTATTCACACTGATGCAGTGCTTCCAAAAAGGCAAAAGAAAAGAAATGCAATATTTCTCTGCCATTCTTGCTCATTAGCTTATCAAGTGAGAACAATGCCTTAATTAACAAATCCTTTATAACCAGGTGCCATTAGAGTAAAGTCCTTATCAAAGCACGCACAGGGTATTCCTACAAAATGCTTCAACTACTGGGGCGCCTGGGTGGCGCAGTCGGTTAAGCGTCCGACTTTAGCCAGGTCACGATCTCACGGTCCGTGAGTTCGAGCCCCGCGTCAGGCTCTGGGCTGATGGCTCAGAGCCTGGAGCCTGTTTCCGATTCTGTGTCTCCCTTTCTCTCTCTGCCCCTCCCCCGTTCATGCTCTGTCTCTCTCTGTCCCAAAAATAAATAAACGTTGAAAAAAAAAATTAAAAAAAAAAAAAAAAAAGGCAAGAACAAAATGCTTCAACTACTAGTCCCTATTGTAGCTAATGCCAGGGAAAATTATGAAACTACAAAATGTGTCTTTTTTTTTTTTAAACCCACTGTTCATTCTAGAAGCTTTTTACCCTTTAGTGGTCTACTCCTTAGGGTATGCGTTTTCCTCCTACTCTCCCACACCAAAATAGAAATGATCAGAACCATTAGCACCCAATTGATTCACTCATTCATTTACTTTTTTTCTTTTTTCATCTCTCAACAAACGTTGTCGTTATCAGATCCTCACTTCAGACACCCAAAACTTTGTAGGGTACTGGTGATATGAAAATCAGAAAGGTAAGATTGTTGCCCTGGAGAAGCTCAGATGGCAGGAACAGACATACTTGTGGTGTCTACAAGGCCATTC